CATGTCACTTTTATTTTGTATAATTTGATGTGATTCTAAAATACAGTGGTCATAATAATTGTCTGCTTAAGTCAACTCAAAAATTGTAAAAGTGCCTAAGGCTAAATATAGCACAGTTGTCTCACAATAACACTGATTTCAATAAACTGTATTTAAGGATTACAGTATTTTATAGTGTTTCTTTTTGAGATGGAAGACTATTTTGTAACTTCACAAAGTATCTTAAAGTGATATGTTTGACATATTAGTATAATGTCATTTCAAAAATACACAGATTCATGACCTATGGCAACATACTTTCACTTATAACTACTGGGTTCTAGATTTTAGAGCATTGTTTTGAAAATAAAGATAACCTTAAGGAAAAACTTTAGTCTATAGAGTTACTAAAATGTTTTAACAATCTGGATCAGCACACATAATCAGGCTTGGGATGTATAAGAAGCAACTGAAAGCCAAAGTTAAATATACTACACTTCATGAGAAAGGTGAGTATGTTTTGAAGTTTCTTGTTTGGCACTTTGTTTCATACTCTATCAACAGTTAATTCCTGACGTATTTCAGTTAAAGTTCTTTCTTAGACATTTCATCCTCAGGTCTTTGGGTTGGATTACACTACAGTACTTCTCTTCTTCCCAGCCCTTCCAACACTGCCTCGATCCACATGCTGAATGATACTGAGGAGTTGGTGGCAACACTGGTACGGAGGCTTTGGAATGGAGACAGTTTGAGTCTGGGCTCTCTTGTTTTACAAACTGTATAATTCCAGCCAAGTTCATCTGTCTGTGCCTCAGTTTCTCATCCGTTGCATATAGAATACCTCAGGATCCACAGGAAAAGTAAATGAAGGAAGCAACACAATAAGGAATGACTATGGGTTCTGTCCTTTTGTGTTCTCGTTACTAAACTCACAATTAGCTTGGCAAAATTATGGCTATGGGGTTGTTCTCTTTTCATGTTCTGAGGACTTACTGAACAGGTATATATGGCTGACAGTTCAAATTATTTTCACAGAGGCCTGCTGGAAAATTTGAGAGTCGCAAAATCTTGCCTATCAATGTCGTTTCCTCCATTTAGCAGTGATAATACAGTTGGTATTAAGTTCTGCCTACTAGACTAGTTCAAAGGAAGCCAGATTATTGAAACTTTTATTTAATGTGTTCCAAAGTAAGAAGTTACTACCCTTTTAAAAGTACTTAGGAAAAATGTAGAAATGATATATTCATTAAATATACTGAATTACAAGAATAGTAATCAATGATTCTAATCTATAGCAGTGAATCATAATCTATTTTTGAAGTTTTTTTGTGTTAAATCCCATAAACTAGGGCCAAGGATTTAGCTCAGTGGTTCCACTGCCTGCCTCGAAAGCACAAGGATACAAGTTTGATCCCCAGAACCAATAAAATAAAATAAGCTGGGCGTGATGGTGCATGCCTATAATCCCAGCACTGGGGAGGCTGAGGCAGGTGGATCACTGAGTTCAAGACCAGCCTGGGCTACATAGTTCCAGGTCAGTCTCAACTACATAGTGAGACCCTGTCTCAAAAAAAAAGAGAAAAGAAAAATCAATAAATAAAATAAATCCCATAAACCAATGATTTTCAACTATCGAGGGTAGAAGAGAGAAGCAATGCCTTAAGCCCAAGCAAGCACTGAGGCTGGTGTTCTGTTGCCCGTACCTACCACACACTTAAGAAAGGTGGCGCCGTTTCCACGAGTCCCAGTGCATCGAAGGGCACTCTGCAGTCTTGACCACAAATCCTTACTGACCCAGGACAGGACTCCTCTCTCCTTGGAGCTCCATTTCTCCTCTCAGGAACAACTGGTCTCCTGAAACATCCCGCCATTCCACACCACAGGAGGAGCTGTGACTCTTAAATCTATGGAAAATAACTGTGCCACAAATCATTCATTCATGGCCAAGGATGAGATTTCTCCATCTTACCTACTCTGTCAATCCAGTCATGGTTGAACCTTGGTAGTTAACTGATAATACTGGAAGTCACCATAGGCTGGTCTTCAATCCTCAGTCTCCAGAAATAAGACACACTTCACAGAAGGTTAAAATTTCCACTAAATTACCTGCATTAATTACTCTTCTGACCTAGTAAAATTAACCAAATTGATGTGTTCATCTTGTTAAGAGTCAACCAATCCTCACCAAACTCCTACAGCAGGAAGGGCACAGCCAGTTGTGCCATGCTGAAATGACTGTTTCACAGTCTTAGTTTTACAAGAGATTCAAAGATTTTCTTCTAGACTCTGTTCTTGGTTACCCTCATCTGTGCCCTAGCTCCCCAAACTCTCTGAACTAGTAAACTTTTGCTGCAAAAAAAAAAAAAACATAATGGCTTTCCATCAGCCCACACCCTTGTTGGGCCACTGATGCTGTCTTGCAGAAAACAACAGTTTACAGCACCCTAGACCTCATTGCAAGCTTTTTGACATCTGGTAGAATTACAGGTCATGGAAATTAGATTATCACATAGCAGCTTTATGGACCTGGTCTTAGCCAGGCATTACATACATGCAGGCCAACACTGCCACCACACACTTGGTAGAAAGGGAGCAGTCAGAGACCCATGAACCCATCCCTACTATAGCATCCAAGTGGCATCTGGATACAGTCACCTGCTACTACAGGAATAAGCCACCATTGTTAGAGGCCTACACTTGGTTCAGAACTTCTCAAATCTAAAGAGCAACGTTCCAATCAGTTATAACCTTGGAAAAACAAAACTCTGCCCAAGGGCCTGTCTTCCAGCCTATGTACTATGGCATCTACTTCATATTTCATTTATTAGGCTCCTCTCAGCCCCTAGAGAGGGCCACTGGTCCTCAAGAAAATGAGGCAGCCTCCTAGAATAACTGAGGTTTCTGTAAAATCAGAGATTGCTTTCACCTACAGTCACAGGTTTCTGACTTCTAAGGTGCTTAATCTGTGAGTCGGCCTGTGCACAGGGCCAATATTCAGAAAAACATGGCTTTGTGAACAGGACACAGCTGCTGAGCGGATGTCTTCCAATTGCCTACCCTGACAACCCACTAATGCCCGAGATCTCTGGGTAGTGCCCTCTCACCTCCTACAGCACCCTTTCCTGGTTATTCGAGAACCACAAGAGGAGTGTTTGGAAGAAAATTTCCTTATGGTAAAGGGATCTACAAGGTGCAAAATAAAGCACTAACAGCTTTGGAATATGGGGAGCTCTCCAGGTTTTATCACCTGTCCCTTGGAGTGGTTAGGACACCACCTTTTCCAAGTACTCACCCTCCAGTTTAAAATGGTATCTCTCCTTCACTGGCCATGCTGAAGCTGCTGGACCAAGCTCAGCACCACTGAGTACCCAAAGGACACCTGCTGATTAGGCAGGCAAGCAGAACAGGACCATCATCTTCCTCTTGCCTGACAATTCCCTTGGGAACCTTCAGGCCCTTCATCACTAGGCCTCATAGAGCCAGAAGCCTTAAAGATACATCCCAAGCCACAAGGTGCCAGCCAGCAGTCACAGTACCTCCTAGTGATGTGCCAAGGAGAAAACGCCAAACAGAGCTAAAGATGGTTCACTGCAAAACAGTGCTTGTCATCAGCTCCACTCAAGGTTCAAGGTACAGGAGGCTGTCGACAGAACTGCCATAGATGAGGAGCCAGTTACTCTTCCGGTTTATTTCTCCAAGTTTGGAACCAAGTGAAAAACTTCCTAATGCTGCCAATCAGATTCCTAACCCTGAAGTCTGGAATGCAGATAACGTGCAGCACTCTTGTCATTCATCCTTAAGCTACTACTCCAAAAGTGCTGGCTTGTGAAAGTGACCTAAAAACAGAGGATATGGCCAATAACCATCCTCACAACTCAGTCTTGGAACAGGATGGAGAAGTGCAGATTAATGATCCAGCAGACTGAACTTTAGGGAAACCTCACCTGTTGAAGTGGGGATATAGCTCAGAGGTAGAGTGCGCGACAACACACTGGGGTCAATCCCCAACACAGGAGAAAACTCTGTCAAGTTTTAATAACTCTTGCACTGGCATCTCAACGTTTTTAAATAAAGAATTAAAATAAAAAAGATAGTTGCTTTATGTGCTATGTAAGGCACTACAGGGGATCTGGTACACCTTTCATACCACTACAGAAGTCAGGTCCAACGTATCTGACTGATCCAAGAGCAGTGGTGTTCACAGCTAACGGATCACAACCAGATCCAACTTACCAACTCCTCTACTGAAAATATCCCATCTTCCAATGAAGATATAAAAAATGTTCAACATCACCGGTCATTTGAGATGCAAATGAAAACAATGCTGAGATTCTACCTCACCGCAGAAAGAATGGCTGCTGTCAAGAAATCAACCAATAACAAATGCTGTTGGGGATGTGGGGAGAAAGGAACCCTTCTCCATTGCTGGTGGGAGTGCAGATGGGTGCGACCACTGTGGAAATCAATGTGGAGACACCTCAAAGAAGTAGAAGTCCCATTTGACCCAGGTATTCCCGTTTGGTATCTTTCCAAAAGAATTTTAAAAATCGTACCAGTGATATATGCTCACCCGTGTTTACAGTGGCAGTTTGTAATGGCTAAAACTTGGAAACAGCCCAATTGCCCATCAACTGGAGACTGGATAAAGATTTCTGTTTTCTAAAATGGAGCACTACTCAGCCACGAGGAAATGAGAAACTAGAGACATTTACAGATAAACGGGTGCACACTAAGGCCAGACTCGTAAATGAAACAAAAAGAACACGCATGTATAAACACCGAATAGTTTCTCTGGTGTGAAAAACTAAAAGTACAAATAAGGATCAAAATGTGTAATTGATAATTTGAAATAGGAAGAAAAGGTCTTGAAGGGGTAGGGGAAGTGGGAGAGGTAGGGAAAAGGAGAGAAGGGAAAGGAAAATATAAGAGAAAAGGAAAAAATGGAAACAAAGTCTGTAAATAGAGAGGAGTGGAGGAGTTGAAGAGAGGGCAGGGGAATGGGAAAAAAAGACACATCATGTAAAGGTACAAGTTCCCAGTGCTGAATGTGACTGTACTGTATACCGAAAATGTACCAAGAAACTTAACGGAAAAAGAGTAAAATCCCACCCTTATAAGCATTATGCTCTCTTTCTAGCTGTTTTCCTGTACCTTAACCAGAGGCTAAGTCCTGCACAAGTGACAGGCTGCACGGAACGAACTCCAACACCAGCAAGCCGAGCTCCATTGTACTGACCAGCACTGGGCCACAAGATCATTCAAGGGAAAGAGTCGGTGTCTCCGGCCTGGCAGGACTGTCATGCAGCTCTAAGGCCGCAGAGGCGATCACCTCATTACTTTTCCAAATATTTTCCTTCCTTCGTGTAAATACCACCTTTCACCAATCTTTGCTCCTCCAGCCCTGCGAGATACTTCCGGCTATGCCTAGAAGTCTGTTCTTGTAACACCCACACATCACATGGAAAGCAAAGAATGACAAACGGAGCCCAAGACTTGTGAAAATGGTCCTTCCACCTTGAGAATGTGTTCAAACATTATTTTCCAAGCAACTAGGAGTCCCTTAGCTTGCTAATAAACAGAAAATTGGAGCTAGAACAGATCCAAGGGAACTGCTACACAACAGTATGTGCTTGCTACCACGCTTAGATTTTCTGAGGGAAGTTCTCACTTCTGATTCCTCATCACTGTCCAGGCACCTACGTCCCCCGGTTTACTATGCTGTATACTGTATAAACTGATATATTGAAATCTCCTCTGCTTTTCTCTTAGGGAGATGTAAGTGATCCCTAAGTCCACTCAGAGGTTCCTGGAGCACTGATCATTTCTTCTCTCCACCTGCACCTTCAACAAATGCTCTAGAACAGATCTGAAAAAGGTACTTGAAAACTTTTTAACCTTAATAAGTTAAAAGAGCAAAACAATCAGCAAAACTTCTTGAAACTCAAGTATTAACACTGTCAGCAACTATTATACAATTTCTACATTGTACTACAGATCTCGACTGACCAAAAGAAATCCTGTGGTCAATTATGTATGTGGATAACAAAATGAAGACAGAACAAAGAGAATATTGCCCTTTTGAAACCTGTACGGATTAGCCATACCTGTTATTGAAGTTGGACATTTTTTTAACATATCAAGTGCCTTCAGAGTTTTATAGTTTATCATATAAACAATGTGAAACACTTAGAAAATTAGTAAGTGTCATTTTTCAGTAGTCATTACGAAACAGAATTCTACTTTAGGCTGCGGATTTAGCTCAGTGGTTCCACTGCCTGCCTTGCAAGTGCAAGGTCCCAAGTTCAATCCCTGGTAGCAAATAAATAAACAAACAAACAGAATTCTACTTTATTGCTTTGTTAAAACAGTGGTTGCAGTTATCTCTTAAAATAAATGAAAGATCTGAGAAATAAGCAAAAAACTAAAATAATTTAAATATTCTGAAACCTCAACTTTAAAAGTGTGAGACCACAGCCACCTACTAGTTGACATGTAATGTTAAGAAACACCGCTGTTTGTATTAACTTACAAGACAGGGAGTCCTCGTAGGAATTTAGGGATAAGTATGCGCAAAATATCTCATCTAGGGCATGATTTTAAAGTTTAAATAAAAGAATCTCTTTTTAACCGGAGACCAGGTATGTATAACAAGTAGGGTTAACCTGTAAAAGCCAAGGATGGGGGCCTCCAACCCCTGCACCGTAAGAGGTAGATTGCACAAATAACCGGCTGGAGAGGGGGTACAACGAAAGGAATAGTATCAGCACCCCAGTCTCTTACCCATCTTTCCTGGAGACATGTTAATAGTGGACAAAAGACAGTGGTTACTGGGAAAAGAAAAGGGGTAAGCACTGAAGGCCTTGTCACAGGGAAACATACAGCTTGTGAGTTCATCTGATGCGATGCTTTAAAAAATACTTAGTATTAACTTTCCTGAAAAAAAAATAACATTTGCAGTTTTACCACCACAAACCGGTAAGAACCAAGTCTTTAGGTCCCATGAGCTTTCACCATCCGAGCCCTGGGCTGGCCCTGTCTTGGAAACAAAAGCCCAATTTCAGGACCCAGGCTCCTCCCTTCAAAAGGGCACTGGTGTCCATAGAATCGAGGCAGGAAATGGAGCTCTCCAAGACCCCTCTCTGCGGCTGAAACGCCCAGCCTGGATAACAACTTATCTGCTAGGTTGGGGGTAACTGGCTGAAGCAAAGTGCCAAAGACTCGCAGACATTCCAAGACCACATGAAGCACAGTTCCCAGCCAGGGGGCATCCACCGGGCTCTCCCTACTCAATTTCCACGGTGCATGCCTTTGGACAAAACCGTTAGTCTGCCGGACACAGCTGGACACCGCCTCCAAGGCCTTATAGATTTGAAAGTTGTCATAGTGCTCAGCTACCTGCGCAGGCAAAGCAGCCACTGCACTCACAAGAGCATAGTCCTCTGCCTGGGCGCGAATTGATGGCCCCTGTAGCCCTGGCTCACTGGGAAAGCAGGCGGTGCAAAAGGCCGGGTAAGTCCCAGAGGGATTGATTCGGCTGGCAGTGCATCGGTTCAAAAGGCCTCCAAGGGCATCCGCCAGCTCAGAGTTCAGCAGCTTAACCACCTTCTCGTCGTAGTAGTCACAGTCCCAGCTGGGAACGCCCTGCCGAAGGAGAAAGTAGCGGAAGCCATCCACAGTGTAGCGACGGAGGCAAGCCGTGGGATCCACCACGTTGCCCAAGCTCTTGGACATCTTCTGGCCACACACTGTCCAGTGGGAGTGGACGTAGATGCGATGTGGAAGACTCAGTCCGGCCCCGAGGAGAAGGGCGGGCCAATAGATGGCGTGGAATTTGAGGATGTCCTTACCTATGACATGGGATGCGGCCGGCCACCAAGATCTGAACTCGGCGTTCGGATAGCCAATGACGGTGAGGTAGTTGACCAGTGCATCCACCCACACGTAGATGGTCTGCGAATCGTCCCCGGGGACAGGAATGCCCCAAGGCAAGTGGCTGCTCCTGCGAGAGACGGAGAGGTCGGGCAGCTCCTCCTCCAGCCACTTAAGGACTGCGTGATGGAAGGGCTCGGGGACGATCGCCCGCGGGTTGCTTCGCAGCCACCGCCGGAGCGGCTCCCGGAACTGCGACAGCCTGAAAATGTAGTTTTCCTCCTTGGTCCAGGAGACGGGGTGCCCGCTCTCCAGGGACACTGGGCGCAACTCCCCCGCCGGGCCGGGCCGCCGAGTGACCTTGGAGTCAGGCAGGAAGCACTCGTCGGAGGCGCAGTACCAGCCTTCGTAGAGCCCCTTGTAGAGCAGACCCCGGGCCGCCAGGACGCCCCAGAAGTGCTGCACGGCGGCCCGGTGCCGCTCCTCG